ACGGAACGTGCCAATCGTGTCCTTGAAGAGATACTTCGAGGATACGTACACTCCTTTAAGAGTTGGAGTGAGTTTTTGCCGATGGTAGAGTTTGCCATCAACAACTCGGTGCATGCGTCCACGACACATACACCGTTTTACGTGAATGGCTTGCGCCATCCGCGTGTACCCACCTTACTAGAGTGTAACTCTGGTTTAAGGGGGGAGGGACTCGCGCGAGCAAAAACCGATTTGGTTCACGCTCATCACGCTCTGACGAAGAAGTCATTGCGTTTGATGCCGATATCGATAACATCGATATCGATGAAGATGATGCCAGTGAGAGTGCGGAAGCCCTCACTGAAGACAATGATCCCAGTGAGAGTGCGGAAGCCCTCACTGAAGAAAAGGTTGTTGTCGCTGCAGTGCGCTCACAGCACACTGAAGCTAACGAGTCATCAGATGAGTTCATACTGGCTCGTGAAACGGTAGTCCGTTTTGTGCAAGACTCCATCGCCGAAGCGGTGGATAAGCAAAAGCAAAACGCTGACAAGAATGGAAGGGCAAACACTCTTTTATTTAATAAAGGTGACTTAGTCCTACTGTCTACGGTTAATCTACCAAAGCATGTAGTGACTAACTTGGGTAGCAGTAAACTACTACCCAAGTACATTGGCCCATTTCGTGTATTGCACCGCCTAGGCAATGCATACACGATCGAGTTACCACGTAAGATGCGAACGCATCCCACGTTTTACGTTGGTCGGCTTAAGCCGTACCATCAGTACGCTGCTTCTTCCGATGAAGAACGCCCTTGCGCTCAAGCATCTCGCAGAGAGCCTTGTGCTCCCGATGGTGGGCATCAACAAGGGGTCTGAAGAGCAGTTATCTCAGCCCGAGACCGATCAACAATCCCACGAGCTACCCTTAGCTCGTCACGAAGAGATGTCAGAGATCTCTCGTTCTCAAGCTGAGCAAAGGCAAACTCAGCTCGATGCTTCGAGGCAGTGTCCACCATCTGGAGACGCCTATTCCGCTCATGCTCGAGATCGTCGCGTAACCCTTGCGTTACGCGATCAAAGAAGCTCTCGGGAACACACCGATCCCCATGATCGTGTGGAGAGCGTCTTTCCTCCTCCTCCACCTCCATTAGAGGACTCTCGCGGTGGCCAGCGCTATCTGATTGAGCAGCTGTTGAACCACCGCGACGTGAACGGACGTCGGACGAGTTATCTCGTCCGGTGGCGCGGCTATCCCCCGTCCTGGGATTCTTGGGAGCCCCGCTCCCAATTGATGGTTGACGTACTGGGTCTGGTCGAGCAGTACGACGCGACACATCCTGTGCCGCAGAAGGACCGCCGGAGAAAGTCTTCCCGGCACGGTCGTAAAGGGATTTCAGGTTGTCAATCCCTTCGTACATCTCAGTAGAGACACGTACGCGCCACCACGGGCTGGTAAGGAGGTAAGCCTCCTTAGGTGCTCGTGCAGAGTTGTTCACACAACATGGGCACGAGTCTCCCCAAGAGAGGCAGGGTAATCCTTTCTCCCTTGACAGACGATGCAGCTTGTAGCGTGCACCTGTCGGGGTTCGCTTTTCAAACTTATCACGAGCTTTGATAAGTTTGTCGTTCCAAGCGTCACGACCTACATCCTCGAGATTATGGATGTAGGCGTTCCACGCCTGAAGTAGTGAGGGACCATCACGTTTGTGATTCCCACTGTACCATCGATGTCTGAAGAAAGCATCGATGAAGAACTCATGTTCAGCGCGATAGTCTTTCGCGCTGGGGTCAAGGTGATGAATCCTTGACGAATCGAACAATCGTGTTCGATAACGATCACTCGTCGTCGCCGACAAGTGATCCATGACAGATTTAGGAGGCATCCATGCCTTATTCTCAGGAGCGAGACGCAAGACATTGCGGTCCCGCTCTTCCTGCGACGTGCCGACAGAAGTACTGGCACCTCGCTGTGAAGTGGTGTCCATTGGAGAAACGACACCACTATTAGCGCCCGAGTCTCGCGACCTCGAGCGCCTTCGCTTCGGCGATGGTTCATCTGACTCATCAGATGAACCAAAGATGCTGCGACGCAAAGCATCGTCCATGCCACGCTTGGCAGGCGGCTTGGATTCAATTGCCGTCGATACGGATCCGTCATCCGTATCAGGAGAGTACGAGACACCGAGCTCGTACTCTGTGAAGACACGAGTGTCTTCATGACCAGCGCCTGCATCACCAGGTGATACAGGCTGAGTCGATTCAGCAACCGATGGGACATCAGTTGCTGTAGTTTCTGCTTCGGCGTCCGCACAGAGACGTGCAGACGCGCTCTCGGCGGCCTTGCTCGCGCATCGCATGGGCTTGTTTACCATGCGATGAGATGTTGGAAAGTGGACGCGGACCAACAAGTGCAAACCCCGTCCCAAATGATTTGGGACGAGTATCCATTTAGTCAATCAGTCACTAAAGTGACTGATGGTTAAGGGGGGTGATGTAACGGGGTGAATCGTTACATAACAATTTATAAGAAATTGTTAATAGAATATAACTATAAGAGTTATATTCTCAGAATATTGTCATAAGGACAATATTCTGTAGCACTTCAAGTAGTTCCTAATTGGTTGATATAGGCCATTATATCAACCAACGAAGACGCGCCACGACAGACGCACGCAATGAGTGGTGAGCAGATAACTGATTTACACATTTGTATTTAGACATAGTTAGATGAAGATAAATAGTGATTTATTGCAGACATTAACTATTATAAATACAGTTCTACTTTTTACTCTAACCAAGTACTCGCTTCTTCTTATCGTCTTCCTCTGCACGTACGAGTGTACGTGAAGTTACGAGGCACCGCCTTATTCTGTTATCAGAATAAGTAGCTTGTACTGTCACCAGTACAAGCTTCAGGGCGCCCCGTTACAGTACTTAGAAGTCGCTGACCAGCCTGTTGAACTGCAGCAGAGTGCGGATGGAATTCACTGGTTTTTCACCTCTCACCTACCGGAAATAGCTACTAATTCGGACGAGGACAGATCCATTTGGGCCCTACGCCTGCGTCGTCACGGCGTCGTGTTTTACTCCCATCCCGGGCATCATGGCTTTCCTTGGGCCGTCGCCGAGTCGGTCGCGAATTTAGCTATACGAAAAGCTATTTCACGCCTGGCGTTCACGTTTCACAAAAGACTTCTTGCAGTCGCATTGCGACCGCTGGTGCGGCGTCTGAACGCCATCTGTGACTTCGATCAGTGGCAGCGGGCTGCCGCAAACCAAGACCCGGCATACGTTTGGAAGCATGCCACTGGCCTTTCCGACCATCAGGTCTGGACGTGTTACCGTATAGCCACCAAGCAACTCAACTTGTACCATGCCGGCCGTCCGGCGGACAATAGTTGCCGGGCGTTATCGGCGTGTCACGGTTGCAAAGAAACGCCGGCTCACATCTTTTGGGACTGCCCCAAGGCGCGCGCGTGCTGGGGTCAACTCATTACCCATTGGACAGGTGAACGGGCTGGGAGGCCGTGGGGAGAGCGTAGGTTCGTCGGGAGTGTGAATTGTCACGCGCCGGAGATACCGGCCAGGCAGCGTCTTCGGATTTACCATATGCTCCCGGAGGACTTAGAGGCTGGTGTCGCGGTTTGGAAGCGTCTCTGGTTTATTCTGAGCAGCATTTGTCTGACCCACTTATGGAATGAGCGGAACGACGCGGTTTTTCGAGGAGTGCAGTCGACGCCTCTCCACAGCGCCGCGCGTTTTTAGGCGCTGGGAATTCGACATCTTATCGCGTTAGCGAAACGCGAACATCGCGGTCCCGACACAGCTGTCGCCGGGGCTATCATGCATACCTGTATCGACCTCTTTATTCTCGAACCTCGGGATGGGCCGATACCTTTAGGTGACAGCCACGACAAGCTACCAGTTCCGGAGCTATTGTCCTGGCTTAGAAGTTTTCAGACATCTTTAGCATAATTATATGTTAATAGACGGTCATGAAATCATCATCACGATCTTGAACTCGTCACAGCGGCCACCGGCTCTCGAACCAGATTCTTGGTGCTGACTTGCGGTTCGTCCATTTGATCTTCTTCGTTTATTCGCCGTGTGCGCATACGTACGATGTCATAGTAGACTACAGTGGTGTCAAGTCTTACACAACGCACACGTAAAACGTACGCTGGCCAATCTTCTGCATTCAATTGTTGACCATGCTCTACTTGAGTCAACAGGACGTACGTGTGACATGACGACAAGCTAGTGTGGTTTAAATCAGTGCAAACCTGGACGTAATCAAGTGATGATGGTCGTCAATTTGACCACGAGGGCTCGCACGTCACTTCCATAATCCACTGTTGCCGGTGATGCCCTCCTGGTGCGGTATGCGAGGGCGACGCCAAATAATTAAACTACCTGACTTTTGTATGGACGACCGGACGTCATGCAGCGCGAACTTCCCAACCTTATGGATCGACCACCATGATCCGATCAGAGAAATAGGTGGTAGACACGGCGCAATTTTGCTCGTTGGGCACTAACCCTCGCGTTGCCATGTGGTAAGAGACGTCTGTCCTCGACGGGCGCGATTCGTCCGAAGCTCCATCTGAAATTGCCGCCTTTGCTCGTTAGAACTGCACGCACTCGTAGGGCACTTCACCACTATGGTGATTCTGGTTGAAATGAGCATACCGTTCTTCAGTGGTCGTGATGACCTCACTTGAGCAGCGCTACAAGCAAAAATGACACGTGCATTGGAATTGAAATGCTGTAGTCAAAGGATCAAATGGGGGCTGTTGGATCAGAAGTGGCAGCTTGACTCCGGCCAAGTATCGATCTCGGCGGTTGAGCTGCTCCACTTAATGTTCTAGTCCCCGCGAGTAAGCTTGTATTGTAAATAATCCTTACGACATAAACACGAAGCCTCCTACTCTAAATCTGATAAGCCAGCTTGATGACGGATCCTCCTTTGCCAGTGATGACGGTCTATTCCGTCGCTACCGCACTGATATCAGTTCGCGCTCAGCTGCAGAGTTGTATCGACAGATACTCGATCAGAAAGTCAAGTGACTCGCTCACGGTGGGGATGTGGACTGGATCTAACTCAATCTTGTCAGCGACTTTGACACACGGCAATGGCAAAAAGTCGTCGGTCCTCATTGGAATATCAGTGCCACGCGGACTGCCAGTAGTCTCAGCAAGATCTTGCTGTAACCGATCCTTCTTCGGCAACAGTTCCAGCTTGGCGCCCATAGTTCTGGAGGATAAGTTGCTACAAGTTGCCACCAGTTTGTCCGCAGCACAGTCCACCAGCTTGCAGAGTTTCATTGTGTCTTCATCAATACGGTGTTCCGGACGAACGAGTTTTTTCTTGGTCTTGCGGAGTCCGCGCAGCCGACGGGACACTTTCTCCTGGTACTTCTGTGCGTGGGTTTGCACCTGTCGCACGGACCGGGTACCTACATGATCTGCAATAATCCTCCATGGTCCCTTGGGATAGAGCTTGGTAGCTTCTAGAAAGCGATCGTGCTCGTCTTGGGACCAAATACCTTTAGCTGTCGGCGACATGGGCGTCGCTTCCCGCATACCGACCGCTAACGGTGAGCTCGATCCGAAACAAGTCATTGACACAACAATGGACTGACTGCAGGCAAGAGTTGAATGGTTCTTGATGGTGGTGGAAGTAACAACGGACAACCAACCGACTATCAGCTGAAGTGCTTCACAAGTTTTTCGCTCGCTCAATGTGTCGCGAGTTAGAAAATGCACGATCGTTCGATAGTTGGTCGACCCTTAGGGACCTGGCTGTGCTCCTTTTACTTCATGTCGAGACTACCAGAGCCGTCCGCCCACCCGCTTCATGCCACCATCAAGCTGACAAGAGCCGGGCGCGGAGGACAGTTGCTACTCAGTTTACAGACAGGCGCTGACTGTGCAGATAAATGACGGCGCGGTTTTCTACCCACACTTTGCGACGAGTCGAGCTGATTCGCTGCTGTCACTCGGCGCTGGATGTAGCAAGCAAGCACGTGTGGAGATGCGATTCCAGTGGGGGGTTACTATCATGGAAGAGATGATCGATGAGCTTTGGTGACGAGGATGGTATATAAGGACGGTAGTCTCGTAGACAGACTGAGCAGCTCGCTCCAGTAAGTGGGTTCCAAAGAGGTGCTGATAAAAATTACTGTGATTATCTCGAGCTCGTCATCGTATGTATAATCTACACAATGGGTTAGGAAAGCGGTAGTGCGGCTGAAGAAAGCGACAGTTTTAGCTACAAACGCTGGTTATCCATGATTTCAGCATCAATCATTGACGTGATTGCTGCCCGCTTCTCCTACCTTCCAGTGATATCGAGCTTGTGTTCGTCGATATCTTGTTCAGCAGGTGTGCTGCTTTTTTTATAGGTCAGGCTCACCTACTCACTCGTTCTCTAGGTCCCATTTAGCCAAGCTACGACGGGTTCATCTGTAAGGTAATGTTGAACAGTGCTGGGATGTCCCAAAGCGAAGTCAATATAGCTGCCGCCGCTACAACATCAACTTGATTGCTGTGATGGGTAGGCGTCGCTTTACCCCAGGATGCACTCGAGAATATTCGATTCTCCGGATTGGAATCGCGCTCTTGATCGGTTGGCTACGAGCACATTACGGTCCATCCTCGTCCGAGTTTTCCTGACTCAGTGCGTCCAGGACCAGCAGATCATACGCGTTGGAATTCTAGCTTGATTCCAACTCGAGTGCCAGTTCGAATCCGGCATGTCACATGCGGCTGCTGCTGTGCATGCTGCATTGATTGGCATAGCGCTGGTTGAAAGTAATCACACCTTCTTGAGTGCGTTAGTGCTGGCCTTGTTATGAAGCGCGTCATATTCGCGTCGGTCAAGTACGTGGCCTACGATAAGCTCGATTACGCGTGCGGCTCTGGCCTACCAGCTGGTTGCTGACGATTTCAACCCAGCCAGCTGACCAGACGAGAATGACGTGTCCGATTTCTTGCGATGCGATCATGTCGCCGTCGACGTTCCGCTCTATCAACCAGCGCTAGCAGGTCGGTAATAATTACTTCTTTCCAAACAAGCCCAGTGAGATGCAAACGCAACTCCACTTGTTCGAGCGTGCTTAAGATTCATGTGCAGAGCCCAACAGCGCGCGGCAATCGGTTAAACTGGTTTGGTATCTGTAAGAGAATAGCTGAAGAGCGACGACACATTAACGTCAATTTACTTCGTTTTCGTCAGACTCTCCGATCCAGAGCGGATCTTTTTACCTGTTACGTAGACTACGAGGTCCGTGCCAGTCACAAAGGATTCGTCACGTTGCCACAGACCGCCAACTCTTTGGTCTGCATTTGACTGCCGTAGCTTGCGTGATTTCGAATGCTGCCCTCAACGAGGTGCGTTCAGGAAACGCGGACCATGCAATACACGCTTTGCTAGCAAGCCCATCACCGGCCTTCTATTAATATCGTCAGAGAAAAAGCTCAGCAACTCTTTGCGGCATGATATCAAGACAGATGAGCGCACGACATACGATCGCAGGGTAGGACTGTCTGTTAGTTCCTGCACTTCTTACTCACCGAGCACACTGCAACTTCCATTTGCAGCGGTTGTTACTAGCAGAGCCATGCCATGTAAGGACGAATACATGACCAGACTAGCAAATTTATGTATCAGAGCACAAGCTATAACTTCGTAGCTACCGACGCACGAGCGCTTATCATGCTATCGTGAGGATCAGCACTTGTACCTTGCGTTTCCGACATTACAACACTCTTTTTTACACTCGTGCGATCGAACTGTCTAATCACACGATGGATCTACTAGAACCAATGCTGTCGTCAGAATATGATGTCCGGACAATCAGGTAGACGGTGCTCTAAACACTTAACAGACGATCGTGTAATGAAGACCGCGTTCGGCAGCATGCTTGGTTCAACCGCATACTGCATCAGATGAGGGTCCGTCACAGCCCTTTGTATCCCTTAGAGTTATCTGGGGTAAAGCAAGATTCGTCGTAGAGCACACCGAAAAACCGAAAACTCTGCCTAGCACAGTTGTTCAGGATCTATTGTTAGGGCCCACACGCCAACCAAGTGTCATCAAAGTACAGGGGGTCATGCGACGCAGCACATTTCGTGCACACGTACACAGGCTGCTTTGTCGTTGATTAGGAAGATGAAAAGGATGTATCTCAATATGATGTTGCAGCAACTTACTTCATATTTGCAGATGTAAATTCAAGACGTAATCCATAAGGTCTGCTGGAAGACGCCTTCGCGTCACGAACCACCGATTGGTCGATTCCATGATTTGACTTCCGTTCTCAAACGGTCATACATGACAGATGGCGTAATTTTTATTTACTTCAAATTCATTAGAGAGATCCTAAAACAGTGCAACTCACGTATTTAAACAAGTGGATAGCTGCAAATTGGGGGATAGCCTACAATCATGAGAAATACAGTCGTCTCCCTATATAAGAACCTCTATCAAGGGTGGAATTCCTGTTTAGGGAACTCCGTGTGCCGCGCCAAGCTGCGTCACTTGGTTTTTGTATGTAGACTCTGGATAAGAGACTTAAGAAGTAGAATACTAAGATAGCGCGCACCAATCACCATGTTCCCTCTATAATGGGCTTGCCACAGTCTTGCAATGCCTGTCATCTTTGCAAAGTTGCTTGCGTTCCACCGTGAATGTCGACGAAGCGAAATATTCTAACAATGGAGCAAAATCGTCAGTACAGGTGCATATCACACGAACGCCAGGCACAAACTGGCGTATCTAAGAGACTGGGTAAGAGAGAAGCTCAGCCTTCGTGTAACGGGGCACCCTTTGTCTAGGTGCCGCGAAACTTCACGTACACTAGTACGTGTAGAGGAAGCTAAGTTACTTGAACGACTCGATCGAGTAAGGTAAAAAAGAGAACTGTATCTATTATAGTCAAGCTATCAACAAAACTTTAATCGTTATCTAACTATATTAACTACGTCGTCGTGTGACGACAACCTGCTCAACACTCATTGCGCGCGTCTAGCAGCGATTGGTGGCAATCCATAATTGATATGTCTTATATCATCCAATCTTGGAGCAGCGAATGAATATTTTCCAAAAGGGAAGAAAATTCCTTCAATATTACCCATTCCGGATAGCATCGGTAGAATATTGTCATGCTAGACAAAATTCCAATTGGCACCGTTTGGTGTCAATTTCATGTAACGGGATACCCCGTTACATCACCCCCCATAACCATCAATCATCCGTTGATTGAATAAGAATTGATTGGGACAGGGTGACCACCTTTGGATCACCCTGGGAAAGGGAGCACTCGTTGGTCAAATTCCATTCATTTGCCAATACACCGCATGGCTTCGAAAACCACGCGAGCTGCTACTGCAGAAGCAAGAAGAGCGGCTGCACGCATGCGTGCGGCCGCGGAAAGTGCCTCTCACGCCTCAGCAGCAGGAGATTCGTCGCCTGTTGTCGTGAATCGTCCACGTGGTGGGTCACCACGTGCGACAGGTACATCCGTTGCGCCTGCAGCGGGTACCTCAAATCGTAATCCAGACGAGTCTGAGATAGAGCGCATCTATTCTGGCGAGTCGGATGATGCATCCGACTCGAAGGCGACTCCTCACACCTCCGGATCACCCGGGGCGGACACTGCAAGAGCCAGGTTGACTAGATCTGGTCGACGTGGCGGCATCATGCTCGAGGTCTTCAGATCGAGTAATTGTTCCGACGAATCTCCGCCTCGCGCAACTCCATCCAACGATAGGACGCGTGAGGATGGTGGGGATGCACCTACACATCACCACGAGCGAAGTAACTCGAGGGATCGAGCTGTCACTGGTGTCAGTGCTCATGCTGACACAAATCAAGATGCCAGGGACAGAAATGTCCTGCACCATGCTCCTCAAATGGAGTCTCCTTGGATGCCATCATCCAAGGAGTTGGACCGGTTGGCCGGCATGACTATTGATCGAGATCGAATCCCGTTGTTCGATTGCAGGAAGATTTGCCCACCTGATTCCAGCACGGAAACTATCTGTGCTGAGGAAGAATTCTTCACCGATGCGTTTCAAACATCGGTGGCACAATGTTAGCCGTGTTCGAGACGACAAAGCCTTGGTGCAAGGATGGAATGCCCTCATCCACAACATCGAGTGTATTGGCCGTGAGGCTTGGCTCGCCAAACTCGATGCAGCTCGCATCAGGTTTGAGAAACGCAAACACGTCGGGGCGCGATACAAGTTGCACCGGCTTTCAAGAGAGGCAGGATTACCCTGTCTTTAGAGGGGTGATTCGTTTCCAGGCTGCCTGGACAATTCGAACCGTGCCCCTAGGGATGCCTACCTCCCTAATGATCCCCACTGGAGGGCGCGCATCTCTTCCGAGATGGCCGAAGGGATTGAAACCTTTCAATCCCTGTACTCGCGTTCGGGGAATCGTTTTCCGACGGCCCTTCTTCGAACGCAGCGGGTGGGTCTCGTCATGTTGCTCAACGAGATCCAAGACATCAACAATCAGCTGGGCACGAGGCTCCCAGCTGTCCCACGCCGGTGGATAGCCACGCCCGCGGACGAGGTAATCTTTTTTTAAATTTGTCCGGACGCCATTCACATCGCGGTGGTTCAAAATACGCTCCACTAGAAAGCGTTGACCACCGCCTGAGTCCATATAAGGATGTGGTGGCGGCGGGAACACCTGATCCGGCTCGAGGGTCGGATCAGCTTGATGTTTAAGAGCTGAACCGTGTATCGGAACAGTTGTAAGATGACCTGGCTCACGAACGGACTCGGCGTTATGAGCTTAAGGATCTTGTAAGGGATAATTCCAATTCCCTAACGCACCATCGTTCGGACGATCGTGCTGCTTTTGCGCTCGCGCAACTTGAGAACGAACGTTCGACTCGTTCTCTTCGTGACGAGCTGGCTGTAGCTCGTCGAGACATCGCTGAACTGCGTGAACAGGTCGCTTCACTAGTCGACCAGACTGGCTCGTTGAAACGGGACCACTCGAAGGTGGTCTCGGCTCTCGACCGCGGAGGTGTTCTTCGCATCTCGAAACGAGCTCGTACTGATAGTACGGGCGGAGACGACCGACGCAAAACGTAGGATGCGTATGAATCTTACGGGGCATTTCAATCGTGTATGCGTTGCCCATTCGGCGCAACACACGAAATGGACCAATGTACTTGGGCAGTAATTTACTGCTGCCCACGTTTGTCACTGCGTGTCTTGGTAGGTTTACTGTTGACAGCAAAACTAGGTCTCCTTCATCAAATGAGAGAACAGTTGCTCTTCCATGTTTGTCTGCGTTTCTTTTCTGCTTGTCTATTGCATGTACAATAGAATCTTGAACGAAGCGGACAACCGCTTCGCGAGTCAGCAAAAACTCCTCTGCTGATTCATCCTTGTCAACAGCAGTGCGCTCCGTGCGCAATACTGAAAGAATATTGTCTGTACCAGTGAGGGCATCATCTTCCTCACTTTGGTGGTCGTTGGCGATACTGAATATACCAGCATCGTCGTCGTCATCATCATCGGTATCGATTGCATCGACATTGGCATCCATCACGTCGACACCATTGTCGACGGGTGATGAGCAAGAACCAGATCGTTTTTGTTCGTACGAGTTCACCCCCCCCTAAACTAGAGTCACACTCTAAGAAGGCGGGTAAACGTGGATGGCGTAGGCCATTCCAAAGAACGGTGTACGCGTTGTCGAAGCGTGCACCTAGTTGTTGATGGCAAATTATTAAAAACATAAATTAATTTTTTTAAATTTATTATTACCTAGTGGTGCAAGTATTGCATTAGTTTCTATTTTAGTTCCTATTGAATTAGTTTCGTATATTTTTCGCGTAATAAGTTTACCTGTTCGATTATTTGAGAATACGATAATAATTACGCAAACAACAGAAATTACACAAATAAATCCTACAGATAGATTCAGAATGATATTAAGACCTTTTATCCTACAGGAATAAATAGTTTTTGTGAAAGAATAGAAAACAGACTTGATGGCAAATTCCTCCATCGGCAAGAACTCACTACAACTCGTTAACGAGTGGACATACCCTCGAAGTATCTCTTCGAGGACGCGGTTGACGCGTTCCGTCAGACCATCTGTTCCGGGTTAGTCAGAAGATGATATCGTCAAACGTGTTCCAAGTGAACAGAACACGGATTGCCAGAACTCCGCCGTGAAGAGGGGGTCCCTATCAATAACGAGCTCATGGGGTAACCCCTGAAGTCGGAAGATGGTATCGACGAAGACACGAGCACATCCCTAGCAGCTGTGATTGACTCCGGTACAGCAACAAGATTTACCATCTTGCTGAACCGATCAACAAACACAAGAATACCAGTATTTTTGTGAACTTTTTTGGGAAACCCGAAGACGAAGTCCATCGATACGGACTGCCAACAATCTGCCGTAATCGGAAGAGGCTGCAAGGGTGCGCGGGATGAAGGACTAGGCTTCACCCGTTGACATACTTCGCAAGCGTGGATGCATTTGCGCACAAACTCATACTGGTGGGGCTAGTAGAAGTCACGACTCACCATGAGGTAAGTCTTTTATCTACCGCGATGCCCACTTGTTGGGGCATCGTGACACTCCTAAATGATGCGCAATCGCAAATCATTATGAGCCGGAAAGACGACACGAGGTGTGTCGCCGTTGACTGCTGCATAGTATAGCAGTCCATCACGGACAGAATACCGTTCGGACGAAGAGCGGTATTGAGACGACAAGCTTTTCAAAGCTTGATTACACGGATTGGATACGTAATCCATCAACCGCAGAAGAGACTCATATTCTGTGTATGCTTTTCGCACATCGTCAAGCAGATTAGACGACGGAACACTCACTGTTAGTGTCGCGACAGTGGGATCACCCCTACTATTGGGTTGAGCAGTCGGCTCGAAGTCGGGTCAACGCGAAAGAGCATCAGCGACGACATGAAGTCGTCCTGGTTTAAACTCGACGGAGAAGTTGTATTCCGCGAAGAAAGACAGCCACCTCGCTATTCGTTGCAAGAGGTGTGGACTGTTTACGGCCGTGCGTAACGACGCATGGTCGATATAAATGATGAAGGGCCTATGTCCTAAGAGATAGACCCGAAACTTAGCCTGTGCATATTTCATGGCAAGGAGTTCCTTGTCATGCACCGGGTAATTACGCTCAGCTTCTTGCAGCTGAAGCGATTGATAACAGACGACGCGCCCAACGCCGTCTGAGTCGTACTGCATTAACCGCACCCGATTACATATCGCTGGCGTCAGAGACCACATAAAATGGTCTATCCTGGTCTGCAATCTCCAACACAGGCAATTGCACCAAGCTTTTCTTGATACCTTCAAAAGAGTGCTGACACTCAGAACTCCATGACCACCTCTCGTTTTTCTTTAGCAGACGAGAGAGATGTACAGTCATCTCGGCATAGTTGCGCGAGTACTTGTGGAAGTACGCCGCCAAGCCAAGGAAATTTCGAATTCCCTTGACGTCGACTGGCACGGGCCAGTCGCTAATCGCCTTGATCTTTTCCGGATCAGGGCGTACACCGTTTTTACCCACGATGCAGCCAAGAAGTGGTATTTCGTTCGCTGCGAATATACAATTCTTGAGGTTCGCGAACAACTTACGCTCTCGCATTAGTGTAAGAACCTTCCGGACTTGGATTCTATGAACCCCCACGTCCTTCTTTCCATCCATAGTCCGGTTATGTACGAAGATATCGTCGAAGTAACTCGGTGCGAAATCGCGCACCGATTGCAACAGATTCGTAACACATCTGTTAAACGTTGCGGGGGCGTTACTTAGCCCCTGCGGCATCACTAGCCACTCCCAGAGCATACCACCGGGGGTGCTCACTGCTGTGTAAGGGATATCTCGCTTACGCATGAGGATCTATTAGAATCCATCCATCAGATCCATGGTCAAAAATATAGTAATCTTTGCCATACCATCTATGATGACGTCCTTCCTTGGGATTGGCGTTTGAGCCGGTACCGTTGCAGCGTTCAGTTTGTTGAACGCGTGCACTATCCGCCACCCTCCTGTAGCCTTTCGCACACAGAAGGTCGGAGATCTGTGTGGGGATGTTGATTCCCTCACATGACCAGCCGCTAATCGATGGGCAAAAAACATTTCGATCGCTTTTACCTGTTCACGAGGCAGTGGCCACTACTTCATGACACATTATTACGATCCAGGTTTTAGTTCGATCTTATCGCCGAGTGCCTTTATCCTTGGGCAGCTTGCATGGCACGGATTTCGGGAAAACACCCCTGAATTCCACCAAATCCTTATACAAAGGATTTGTCTTTAAAGACTCCCAAGATTGAGACGTGTATCTCTCAATCCGGGTCTTCTCATCGAGGACACTCTCTTCCATCGATGAGCTACTGAGAACCCGTTCGTTCTCAGCAAACACTTGTGCTGACCGAATATCGGCGACGTACTCGTCCTCTGTGACGAGTACGCAGATCTGCTTGATCTTGTCACTACGCAGATCTCGCAAGAATCTTTTAGATTCTAGCGTTGGCAACTTGACCACCTCCGAAGCTGACTTCGGGGGCGTCACCAGATCAAGTGTATCAGCGCCTACACTTGTCCTTCATTCACCAAGGCATTAACTGACTCGGTGATTTCCTGGGAAAACACATCCGCAGGTGGTTGGGGACCCACACCCTCAACATAACTCTCTCGGGAGTTATTGCTCTCAGGAAAGTCGGAATTTTCTTCCGTTACGGGTACTATCACGGTCACGTCCTCTTCGATCGACTCTCTTTCAGTCGAGCGGGCTTGATCTACGATCGACTCTCTGATAGTCGATCTCGCTTCAACGTGTTGTTAATCCTGAACGACACTAATCTCTCTTACCGGATGCACCCTTCTTGGTGTGCATCCGTGTTCAAGTCCACTCGATCTCTTCGATTAGTGAGCCTTCGGCGCAGCCTGTGTCTCTACATGTGCCGGAAGATGGCTCCACAGTGCAGTGGCTTTCTACACTGTGATCTTGTGCAATCGTACTGACGACCGTACCACAGTGTAGTGGCTTTCTACACTGTGATCTTGTGAAGTCATACTAACGACCGTACCACAAGTGAGGCCATCGCACTCACTCATAGTACATCTACACGCTTGTGGACGCTCCAAGACGTTCATCAGATGGCCATCCGATGAACAAACGGCAGGCATCTTCACGGATCGATGCTGCCAGCTAACCCATGGCTGGTACTTTCTAAGCCATGGCAGACCAAGGAGACATCAAACTTGTCATCCAAATCTAATACGATAAACTAATCATCGTACTGCTTTTCTTCTAGCCTGTAGTGGATTCCTACTACACGTTTGTTCACTGTGACGGATGGTCCTGTAGCAAGGCACACCGTAACCTCGTTGGAGGAAACTCTCGATCAACATTGTTGAGTCTACTATCCCTTAGCGACTGGCGTCGAATGAAACTGTTCGACGCCCCACAGTCAACTAGGGCGCGAAGTGACATTCCACTTGTCACTTCAATCTTCAAAGTGATGAGAGACTCCTCATCACTAGGGGCAGTAACACACAAAGACTGTGTGTTGGGAGCAATCTTCGTCAAGAGTCCTGCAAGTTCTCTTGACGTTGCTAGATTAGCAGGGTGCTCCGCCCCTACTGACCCTGAACGTTTTTTGACGGTCCTGCTTGCTGTTGCGGCTTAGCGGCATGGTCGGACCTACGCCGTGGACCTTTCCTTGGCCAACGGTGGTCATCGCGTCCTGTCTTTGGACGTGTTGCAATGTTCGGTATACCACACTCATGAGCGTAGTGTCCAATTTTCTGACAGCGATGGCATTTTGCCGTTCGCTTGTGACTCAGAGCGAGAGTTATCGCTATCGATGTAACAGAGGTCCATTGGTTCGGGACCTCCTGTTTCCTGTCGCCTCATCGGACGATATTTGGACGAGTTAGCCTGAGACTGTCTCGGGCTGAAGTCTTCTTGTTCTGCATACGCTATCGCCCTTTCCAGCGTATAGAAATCCTCTTGGAACATGTAAGTCTTCACCGGCCCATCCAAAAGGCCGTAGATGAACACGTTGATAAGCGTGTGCTCATCAACAGGGTTCTCCATAACGCTACTTGCAAGGTATCGTAGGTGCTGTGCGTAAGCGTACACGTCACTTTACCTTGCTTTAGCCTCAAGAGTGCAGAGCGTGCTCTGAACTCGGCTCTCGGCGGCTCAAACGTCTCCTTAATGCGAGACTTCAAGATCTCCAACGACTTTAACACGTTTGGGTTGTGAAGCTTGAGCCCTAAGGCCCAATTCTTTGCTCGTCCTGTCGAATTTGACAGGGCGAAGGTGACTTGCATCTCGTCACCCTCGATGTGACGGGCCCTGATGGCATCGTCTAACTCGACGAGCTATCTCAAAAGGGAATCTTCATCGGTTCCCTTGTACCTTGAGACATCAATCTTCAAGGTTTCGGGTCGACGCATGTGCGTCGGCCCGCCCATCGACTGATGAGAGCCTTGATGATGTAGCAATGCTATCTTCTGTTGCTCGACGCCAAGTTCCCCTTGCAGGA